TGCAGCCACTATGAGAAGAACAAACTGTCAAACTAAGATTCTAAGATGATGAGCCATGTTTACTTTTGTCTCAGTCAAAATGTCATGTCAACACCCCGTCTATTCATTCACAGAGTTTCCTGACATCAATACTGCAGTCCACTCCTTCCTCCTTCTAACACCTCTCTGTTGACTTCTACAGTGAGATCTCCAACTTTGGTCATACCTCTCCATTATGTCTCCTGTTTGAGATCCTCCCTGCCTTCCTCTCTGACCCGGGCTTTCTGGTGATCTCTCCCCATACACGGCCCACAAGGGACCTTCTCTACTCTCAGGGTGCAATTGTCCCAAGTCTCCACCCCAGCTCAGATCTACAGTTGAGCTCCAGATGCATTCATTGCCTCACCATGGATGTGTGTACTTTGGGTGCACCCTGACATGCTCCTCTTCCACTGTTCCCTGAGTTGGGGAATGAATGGCTTCAATACTCACCACTCAGGAAGGTACAGCTGTCTAGAATTGGTTCAAAACTAGAGCTGGAGGTTTCACTGCTGAATTTTATCAAACATTTAGTGAGGATGTAATACCCATACTCCTTAAAGTTTTCCAAAAAGTAGATGAGGAAGGAATACTCCCAAACTGATTCTATGAGGTCAGTATCACTCTAATACCAAAACCAGGGAAAGACACCACAAAAAAAGAAAATTACAGACCAATAGCCCTGATGAACATGGATGCAAAAATACTCAACAAAAAATATTAGCAAGTTGAATAATAAATACATTAAAAAGATTATTCATCATGATCAAGTAGGATTATTCCAGGGATGCAAGGATAGTACAACATTCAAAAAATCCATCAACATCACCCACCACATCAACAAAAAGAAGGACAAAAACCACATGATCATCTCCATAGATGTTGAAAAAGCATTCGACAAAATTCAACATCCATTCATGATAAAAACTCTCAACAAAATGGATATAGGGGGCAAATACCTCAACATAATAAAGGCCATATATGATAAACCCACAGCCAACATTATACTTAACAGTGAGAAGCTGAAAGCTTTTCCTTTAAGATTGGGAACAAGGCAAGGATGCCCACTCTCCCCACTTCTATTCAACATAGTCCTGGAGGTCCTATCCATAGCAATCAGACAACACAAAGAAATAAAAGGCATCCAAATTGGCAAGGAAGAAGTTAAACTGTCCCTGTTTGCAGATGACATGATATTGTACATAAAAAACCCTAAAAAATCCACTCCAAAACTATTAGATCTAATATCTGAATTCAGCAAAGTTGCAGGATACAAAATTAATACACAGAAATCTGTTGCATTTCTATACACTAATGATGAACTAGCAGAAAGAGAAGTCAGGAAAACAATTCCATTCACAGTTGCATCAAAAAGAATAAAATACCTAGGAATAAATCAAACCAAGGAAGTGAAAGACCTATACTCTGAAAACTACAAGACACTCATGAGAGAAATTAAAGAAGATAACAATAAGTGGAAACACATTCCATGCTCATGGATAGAAAGAATTAATGTTTTCAAAATGGCCATCCTCCCTAAAGCAATCTATAGAATCAATGCAATCCCTATCAAAATACCTACAGCACTCTTCAATGAACTACAGCAAATAGTTCTAAAATTCATATGGGACCACAAAAGACCCCAAATAGCCAAAGCAATCCTGAGAAGGAAGAATAAAGTGGGGGGGATCTCACTCCCCAACTTCAAGCTCTACTACAAAGCCACAGTAAGTGAGACAGTTTGGTACTAGCATAAGAACAGACCCATTGACCAGTGGAACAGACTAGAGAGCCCAGATATAAACCCAAGCATATATGGTCAATTAATATACAATAAAGGAGCCATGGATATACAATAAGGAAGTGATGGCCTCTTTGATGACTGGTGTTGGCAAAACTGGACAGCTACATGCAAGAGAATTAAACTGGATTATTGCCTAACCCTATACACAAAAGTAAACTAAAAATTGATCAAGGACCTGAATGTAAGTCCTGAAACCATGAAACTCTTAGAGGAAAACATAGACAAAAATCTCTTGAATATAAACACAAGAAACTTTATCCTGAACGCATCTCCTCAAGCAAGGGAAACAAAATGAAAAATGAACAAGTGGGACTACATTATGCTAAAAAGCTTCTGTACAGCAAAGGACACCATCAGCAGAACGTGGATGGGGGGCATCCTACAGTATGGGAGAATATATTTGTAGATGGTGTGTCTGAAAGGGGGTTAACATCCAAAATACACAAAGAACTCACATGCCTCAACACCCAAAAGGCAAATAACCCTATTGAAAAATGGGTGGAGGATATGAACAGACACTTCTCCAAAGAAGAAATTCAGATGGCCAACAGGCACGTGAGGGGATGTTCCTCATCACTAGTTACCAGGGAGATGTGAGTTAAAACCACAGTGACATATCACCTCACACCAGTTAGGAGGGCCAACATAGAAAAGACTAGGAACAACAAATGTTGGCGAGGTTGTGGAGAAAGAGGAACCCTCCTACACTGCTGGTGGGAATGTAAACTGGTTCAATCATTGTGGAAAGCAGTATGGAGGCTCCTCAAAAAGCTAAAAATAGAAATACCATTTGACCTGGGATTTCCACTCCTGGGAATTTACCCAAAGAAAACAACTTATCAGATTCAAAAAGACATATGCATCCCTATGTTTATCACTGCACTATTTACAAAAGCCAAGAAATGGAAGCGACCTAAGTGTCCATCAGTAGATGAATGGATAAAGAAGATGTGGTACATATACACAATGGAATATTATTCATCCATAAGAAAGAAACAAATCCTACCATTTGCAGCAATGTGGATGGAGCTAGAGGGTATTATGTTCAGTGAAGTGGGTCAGGCAGAGAAAGACAAATACCAAATGATTTCCCTCATTTGTGGAGTATAACAACAAAGCAAAACTGAAGGAACAAGATAGCAGCAGACTCACAGACTCCAAGAAGGGACTAGTGGTTACCAAAGGGGAGGGGTGGGGGAGGTTGGGTGGGGAGGGAGGGAGAAGGGGATTGTGGGGTATTATGATTGGTGCGCATGGTGTGTGGGGGGTCACAGGGAAGACAGTGTAGCTCAGAAAAGACAAATAGGGACTCTGTGGCATCTTACTACACTGATGGACAGTGACTGCAATGGGGCATGGGGAGGGACTCGATAATAAGGGTGAATGCAATAACCACATTGTTTTTCTTGTGAAACCTACATAAGACTGTATATCAATGATACCTTGACAGAAAAAAAATCAAATCCATACAAGTTACTCGAAAATGTTACTGTTTTCATGTTTCTTACATTTTACCTGAAATGGAATCTCTAGCTGGTAAGAATGTCTTTCTCACATTTCAACACAGTTCCTATTAACATTTATTGATCTGGAAGAATAAAATAAATTGCTGGTAGTGGGAAGGGGTCATTGTGTTTGCGGTTTTATTTTTCTCTGGCATGACTGTTAAGTTCCTATTATTTTGTGTAAAATATTTAAATTAAATGTTTTTTTTAGAGTAAAAAGTGCTTCAGAGATTTCTAGCAATAAATCTGTAATGCTATATATATATACGTGGTAAACCAGTAACATTCATACTTAAAGTAAAGACGGGTGGGAGGGAGGTTGTGGCAAACTGAAGGGTGCAGGCTGGTCCACAAGGGGAGCTGATGATTCACTCCAGCTGACTCAAGCCAAGCAGAAGTACGGGTCCATCTGCCAAATTCAGGGCTTTTGTGAAAGAAGCTAGAAGTATGAATTTCAATGTGAAGTCTCTACATTTTTAAATGTTGATAATTACTTAAATTTAATGCAATATGGACTAAATAAAATATGCTCAATGGGCTGTTGTTTGGCAAGCTCTGTCCTAGATCAATGGCATCCAAGCAGTTTGATTCAAGAACTATTTTCAAGAAAATTAAATTTTAACTGTTTGGAAGTCTGATTTACCTAGTAATCACTATTTGTGTAAAAATTTCAAGAAGGTTGTTTCTCCATCTTTACAATAATATCTGTATTGTAAATATGCTAGCCACACTGACTATAAATGTTCAAGAGAGCTAATAATATTTTCCAGACACCAATCAGATAAGATCCCCTTTTTTGTATGAGAAAATGGTCCAGTTTGTAAAAGTCTCAGAGCAATCCAGTAGTTTCTGTGACTTCAGTGATGTTAAGTCTGGCACTGAGTGTCTGACTGTGTGACTCTCTCACTGCGTAGACTCCAGGCAGAAGGCCTTGGCCTCTCTTGAACTTGGTGCCTGTCACCAGGGAGCCCGCAATCACAGCTTCCCTTGCTAATTTACTGGCATAAATGCATCCATTCCCACTACCCCTGATTCTATCATATAAAATAGATAAAATATATTTTCATGTAGATCTATTTTCATAACTTCAAATTTTTGTGATATTTCTTTTCTCTAGCACACGGGCATGAGCAGTCTTCTCCCTCGGAATCATCACTCTGTCCCCTAGCCTGCGGCATGCTTGATGTCACCATCTGGGAAATCCCATCATGTCTTTTGAACATAAAACAGTAAGAAAGTGGAAACAAAAGGGAAATTACCTCCACATAGATGTGTGTACTTTCATTGGGAATAGGGTGTTGTTTTTGTCTTACAAATGCGTGAACTTGAAACAGGTTTTTTATATGAATTTGCTCAGAAGTAGGAGTCTATTCTTGCAAGTGGTAATAAAGTTTGTGCTCAACCACACCCTGCCCTGCTGTCATGATTTTCCTCCGGTGAACAGAGACAGTAAGAGAGGAGCCTCAGAGTGTGGTCTGCAACGTGTTAGAATTTGGTGTATAAAACATTTGATTGCAAATTTGCGCTCTTATTAAATTATAGTTTATTGAAATATTAAAGCATATGTTAAAGTGAATTATGAAGAGAATACTAGTTGAGCATCCACCACACTCTTCTAAAACTTACATCCGTGGCACGCGGTGGCTGGTCTGGCTAAGGGCTGTCCTACTCACCGATGAGATACATGCCGATCCAGTCTCCAGCGTCCACTTCCTCCTTTATGTCCCAGTGGATCACCAGGTCCTGCGAATGCCCTATGGAGTAGTAGGAGCTGCTGACCATGAGCGTGGAGCGGCTGTCTGAGGTGACCAGGTCAGTGTCACTGGTGGAGCGAGGGATGGTGACAGTGCCGTGGGGGCCTGCCCTGATGGCCATGCTGTGGAACTGGCTGGGGTTGTAGCTGTGGCGGAGCGGCTCCTTGCACCTGCGTCGGTTCTGGGAGTTTCTAGATGGAGAAGCCATGGCGGCCAGGCCTAAAAACCTGTTCTGGTACAGATTCTGTGGGGGCAAACAGACAATCAGCAGGGGTGGGAGATGCCAGCCTCATGGCCACTGCCTTCACAGGGGAGGAAGAAGAGCAAGCTGGGTGCGAGCAGCCATCCCAGGAAGATGTGAAATACGACACAGAGCATCTTCCTCAAGACAAATGCAGTAGGCGGGTGTTTGCACTGGGAAGGGAAGAACAAAATATAAGCTCACCCAGGGATGTCCATGCTCTGCTGGCGTGTCTGCCTCTCCCATCCTCCTCTAGCCTGTATGGTATAGGAAGGCCTGAATGGCCCTGGCTGCCCCTGGGCAAAGTGCCGTCCCTGGAGTTCTACAGCATCTATTCAACTGGATCCAAGTGTACCCCTCTTTAGGGTAGATGATAATTACAAACTTTTCAGTGATCTGAAACTGGCAGCATCTGAGGCCCTACATACAGCCCAGAATCAGAGGTGGTCCCTGCTGGGTGAGACAACTGATGCCCCTCCACTTACAGCTCCCCCTCTACAGAATGTCTCTGGCTGTCTGAAATTAGGGATCCAGATATCCTAGTCATCTTCAAATACACAATTTTCAATAAAATCTAATCTCAGAGATCTATGTCTCCCTCAGAGCCAATGTTACTGTAGAAAACACTGAATCCAATGAGAAAAAAATGCACGTTTTTTATTGTTTATAACATTGAGCAATTAAAGCAAGCTGAGCTGACACAGAGTGGTAAAATTGTTTTGGACACAGAGGGCTTTTAAACCATGCGGAAAGGGCATCACATAGGATTTGTAAAAGGGATTCTTTTTTGAAACAAACAAGGTGATTCTGACTTCATCAAAGTATATTAAAATTGGGATTTCAGTGTACATTTTTGGGTTTTCTGGTTATAAAAGTACATGCTGTTCTACAACCTATTATAACACTTGTTTTTAAGAAGAGAAGATTAAGTCCAAAAAATATGTTGAATCATGCAGTTTAGAGCCCAGGGACTGAAACTTATTACACACATCAATCAAATTCAAGTTGCTGACTTTTTGTTTACCATCCACAAGCACCAGACCCCAGCACCAGTCTACTCTTTAGATAATATAAGTCTATTTAGCAGTAATTTAGGCCTGCACTTTTTCCATCTTCTAAGACCAGGGCACTTGTAAAAAGTCCATTAACCTGATAAAGCAGGTGCCAGCATTCTGAGTCTCAGTCTTTAATGGCCATGTGGCAGGCCTATTCATTCATTATTTGAGTTTCTTGTTAGGAATTTCTTTGGCCTAACTGATGGTAACCATGGAATTACTATAAGCAGAAAAGCCAGACTTTGGAGAACATCTCATCACACTATTGGTACCATATGTCTTATTAAAAAAAAAATGCCTGTCATTATGACATTTGAAAATAGATGGACTGCAAGGTTGCCTGGAAACGAGTCCCCCTCTCAGGATAACAGGCACAGCCTTGAGCCAGGAAGCACGGTCCCACCTGACAGAAGCCCTGACTCTTCCGGCAGCTCGCAGAGAGTCTCAGCAACCTGACTGTCCTCTAGGCCTTTGTAAAATCTCCAAAAAAGGACAGGCTGCTGCTGGAGCATAACATTTCTTCAGTTTACACATGCTTTAAATGGACTAATAACATCTTACAGTATTATTCCAGAGAATAAAAACTGCTTGGAATTGAATGAAATAGTCAAGTGTGTAATTATGAGTTAGACCCAAGTTGGTGCCACACCACCGGCCCCCAAGCCGTGTGTTTCGAGATAGCCTACTTAACTCCTTCAGGTCCTCAGCATCCTCATCTGTAAATGGGGTAGTCAGAATTTAATAAAATAATGCAAGTTAAGGTCTGAGCATATTAAATGCTCAATAGATAAAAACCTACTACTGAAATAGGTTCTTGAGTCAGATAGGCTTGCCTTAATAGGAAAGCTAAAAGCCTGTAATCCATGTAGGGTCAATCAGGGCCTCAAAAAAAGATTTCAAAGTGCTTTTCTTTCATTGAAGACACTTCTGCTGTGGTATTTATTAGAATTCCCTGGAAACCAGGCAAGTCCCTTAAAACTACCACTGAAACGTAGGTCCTGGGCAGTCGGCCAGGCTCACTCATGGGCCCAGAGTCCCTGCCCATCATCTCCTGGCCCTCAGGCTTAAATTCACACTGCAGCAAACCTACAAACTGTTCCTCATCATGGACCTCCAGGTTTCCTTATGAAACTGGAATTGTAAGTGTTAGAGTCCAGTATATTTGTAAAGGGCCCTCTATACAAATTTTTTGAAGGGGGAGGGTTGTCTGTATTTATAAGATTTGTTCTTGAGTCAGATAGTCTTGCCTTAGTAGAAAAGCTAAAAGCCTGTAATCCATGTAGGGTCAGTCAGGGCCTCAAAAAAAGATTTCAGAGTGCTTTTCTTTCATTGAAGACACTTCTGCTGTGGCATTTATTAGAATTCCCTGGAAACCAGGCAAGTCTCTTAAAACTATCAAATGAAAAAAAAATAAAAACTATCAAATGATACCTGTGATCACCATCCATATGGTGGGAATAAAGGCAGAGAAGGAAACATTAGTCAGAGAAGACATTTTTCAACAATTTACTAGACCAGAATAATGGTATTTGCCTAGAATAAGAAGGGCAGCCTCAAAGCTGTTTCCTGAAGACCACACTCTCCACTCCTCAGCCCCATTCGTCTTTGCCCACATCTCTCCCATTTGTCTTTGCAGGCAGGATTTGCATGTGCCTCCAGATCATGTTCCAGCACAAACTCTGTTATAACCTCTCCTTCCATCCTTTTTCCATTCCCAAGAGAGGAGGCCTTTCTGATTTCACTGGAACCCCATCCCTCTGCAAGAATCCTTATTGTGTTACTGCTATTTGACCTACTCATGCTCTTCATGGACCGACTCTCCTGCTGCTTCTGTGCTGTGCTCCTGTCCACACTTTGGTATTTGCCACCTGAGAGGTTGGACAGTTTTCAAAGTGATCTCCAACAGGAGCATGGTCATCTTTTCTTCCTTTTCCAGTTGTGGGGAAGTTGGGGTTCCTATGGCCAGGATCCTCACTGAACTTAAACCACCTGATGATGTAAGTGGCCTGTTGCTGGGCTACTGCTTCCACACCTGTAGGAGATAAGCTATTACTGTGCTATGGAGAGAGCTCAGCCCAGTGCTCTGGGCAGAGGCAGAGATGCTAGTGCTCCACCTACTGCTGGGCAAACAAGCCAGATAATAAACCCTTTCGCTTCAAGAACGTTCTACTCTCATTTCTTTGGTCACACTGAATCCATAGTGAACTTGCCCAGGTCTGAAACCCATTGGCAAGATAGCTGGGAAGGCCTGAGGCCAGAATTCCCTGTTCTGTATATCCCCTGGACCTGACATGACTCCTGGTCCAACAAAGACGCTCAAAACTTTAATTAATAGAATTTGCTTAATGCCATTATGTCCCTTCTTTCTGCAGAAAGGGTTTTAGGTGGCTAATTAAAAATAGATAAAATACAGAAATACATGTTAAGTTAGTAGGCAGTGCACTGAGAGAAGAAAATAAAGACAATGACAAAAAGTTACACAGGAAGAAGGCTAACATAAAACTATGCCAGCATGTCTTAAAAAGGTGTTATTGCTAAAGACCCACACAGCTGCTTCTTGAATGCAGCAGGTGGATGGTTGACGCCCAATTGCTATTCCTTTGTGATCACGTTTTCCCCAGGCTTTCACAAGTGTTCCTAGCCTACACTACAGACTCATCCAACTGGAAGAAACAATACAATCACTCTCCCTTCACATCTGAACCGTGGGAGACAGATGAGGAGCTGTCCTGGTTTTAAATAGTCCTGCATAAAAGACCACTCTCTTCCTAGACAATGATTTCAATGTTTTACAACCTCCAAATTCTTTCTAATCTCTAAGGCAATCTCCCTCCTCCCTGCTAAGGAACAGCCTCCTGTTCTCAGCACAAGCAGGAAGGTAAGGGCATCACTAAATTGCTCCCAGCTTTCTCTCCAGCCCACTGAGTAATTCAGGTGTCTTTTATCTTCTTTTATCTTAGTGACAGCAACAGACACCCATCAAAAACCATGAGAATATTAGAAACAGTTTCAGTAACATTGTAATATTCCAATTATTGGAAAATGGTAATCAAGTGTACACTAATTATGGGCTTCGTTAAGCACAGATTTTAGCTCACTCCTGAAAGAGTGGGTCTGATGAGGGAGCCCCCGAAAACAATCTGATTATGTTGTGCCACACTTCACAGTGAGTAAGATTCCATTTGCTGGCTTGTTTCCTATCTGTAGGAGAAGATGCAACACGATGTGATATTTACTTGTTTTATTTTCCAATTTAAGTAACTTGTAAATATTGAAATGTATTGAATTGGTATGTCCTTGGATTTATTATTTTTTTAATCTTGGAACAGGCTTTGTGTGTTTAATATGTTTTACGTGATTCTTATGCATTACAGTTTATCAGCAAAAACAAAGCCTTATATAAAGATACAGAATCTTAAAAGCAAAAAATCACCACTTCTAGGGCAGGAACATGTTATTATGGATTTCTTTTGAAGAACACAGGGAGACCAAAGATTCTGCTGCATCAGTTTCTAACTGACAGGGTCATTAATAGCTTTTCTGTTTTGGAATATAAAGCTGTGAGTGAATGCCACCTCAGAAATGAAAAGAAAGTGGACAAAAAGCCTATTTGTAACAGTGAAAATGATTCCTAAAAATTGCCTCCACACTAAGAAATCAAAAACTGAGTGGAAAAACACAGGCCCTGAAGGAAACTTCATTAAAGTGAATGAGACGAGGTTTTAGATACTGGCATTATTTATAGCTGGAAGAAAGAGCATAATAGTTGTTGAGTTCATGCACACATTTGATTTTGAGCAAGTAGATGCCTGATGCTTTTCTATCCTACACTCAGCTCTGGTTATGCCATTATGTGTATAATGGAACTTTTAAAAAATTATGTATAACATGTCTCTTTCTACAATGAATTTGAGAAAATTTACAACAAAAGAAATGTACAAGGAAATC